TTTGCGGTATGTCTGCACCGAAGCTAGAATGTCAGCTATCCGTGCCAAATGGAAGTAGGTGATAGATTTAGAGTCATGGAAGCGATCGAAGCTTTCATGTATTTAGTTCAGTTGGTTGGTATTTCATTCGAGTGATGTGTTCTTACATTAACTATAAAACATTGTGTTACATATATATTACTACATTCCATTTTTTTTTTCATAGTGGTGTAATTTGCTTATATTCATTATTGAAACCTCTTCAATTATTCATTGTTTTCTTCTTGGTTCGGTGTGAGTTAGCTAATAATCATATAAAAATTAAATACTATTTTCATATTTCTTAGAGAAAGATGATATTGTTGGTTTGCTAGCGTATAACCAACAATATTATTTTTTTATTCAATTATTAAAGAAACAATGACGGGCAATGCCCATCATCAAAAGCCCATATTTAATGACGCAAATACGATGACGTACATTTAATGACGTACATACGATGATGGGCAATGACCGTCATTAAAAGTTGTCCGTCATTAAAACGAGACAATGACACTCGTAAAGATGTCGGTCAATGCCCGTCATGAAAAGGCAAATTTGTCGTAGTGTAACTTTTTCATAATTAAATTCAAACTAATGTGATTTAAACAAGTGGCCAACAAGAAATCAACTTGATGAATTAGATCAATTGAGATAAGCAAAAGAGAGTGTAATAGGACGTGCTCACTGATAGATGTAATTTAAATAGATGAACTAAACTCGTAGGAGGGTTGAAGAAACAATTATCTACTCATGGAATTGAAAGAAATTAAAACACAAGAGAAGATAACAAAAGAAAACATTTTAATTAGAATTTGAAAGAAAGTAAAAAATGGAACAAATTGAATTGCAATAAAATAAACAAGAGTAATTGTAGAAAAATAATTGAAAACAAAACTTAAATAAAAACTACAAAACTAAAATTGATAACAAAGTAGAAAGAAAAACAAAAGCATGGAAAATGAGATATCTTGAAGTGATGCTTGGAAGCTCCTTTTATTGGCCATAAAGGTAACAAGATGTTGAGAAATGCATGGGAGGTTGGAACCAAATGAGGTTGTAGAGATTTTAGGAACCAATAACAAATCTTGGACCAATAACTTGGTTAAAAGTGGTTATTCACGTTTTGATCATCTAGGCATCAAATGTGGGTGAAGCATTGTGAAGCTGGAACTTTCAAAGCAATCTCGCTCGTTCATTCCTCTAGTAAGCTAGAATTTCTGGTCATGCGATGTGCTCATTGTGATCATCAATCTTCACTTTTTCTTATAAAATAAACATACTTACACAAATTAGCCTTCATTTACCTATAATTGAATTCCAAAGTCCCTAATCACAAATTATGCACATTTTCTCTAAATTATATGTATGAACATACATTTTTCATCTCAAATAACCATCAACTAAGCATGTAAACCTACACTTTTTAGCCTTTAATCAAGTCTTATTAGTTGTGCTACTCACAATGCTTGTATGCACTACCAACATCCTTTGCAGCAGATTTTGAGCTATTGCTGCCACTCGCCTTCTATCCTTTCCACTTCTTCTCTCTTCCACCTTCTCCCTTATGCATTCTAGCTTTCAGTGCCCTTCAACGCTTCCTTCTTGCCTCATCAACCTCCTCTGCTCCTGTACTTGCAAAGCACTAAAAACTTCTCACTTTGAGTTTGGAGAGGTCTTTAGTATTCTCTAATGAAGCAATGGTTGCTTCATATCTCTCAGGTACTAAAACCAAAATCTTTTGAACCAATCTATTGTCAAATAGATCAGTTCCTAATGCTCTTGCTTTGTTAGCAATCCCGATCAACTTGTCTAAGTACTCTTTGATGGACTCAGAATCCTTCATCTGCATTCTCTCGAATTCCGTCACCAAGTTCAACACCTTCATGCCTTTAATCCTCTCATCGCCTTCGTACTCACTTTTGAGGAACTCCCAGATCTCCTTTGCTGACTTCAAGGCCATAATTCTGTTGAAATGGCGGGAGACACAACTACATATAGGCAAGCTCGAGCCTTTGCCTTCCTAGTGACCCTCTCCTTGTGAGTCTTGATCTAATGCATTGTTGGATTATCAGGAAGTTGAGCAATTTCATAATCTTGCTCAATTGCTTCCCAATAATCACAACCCTCCATGTAGGCTTGTATTTTGATTGCCCATGCTTGGTAGTTTTTACCATCAAACACAGGTGGAGCCAGTGAAGAAAGATTGTTTGATCCTAACTCCATTGAACAAAACTCTCACAGGTGTATCACTTAGTTTCTCTTAGGAATATTTCACTAATCCTCACTCATAGATCCCTTAAGAATTTATGGCTCTGGTACCATTGTAGCTCTTATTATTGAGAGAGAAATGAGAAAGTGGGGGAGTGTCAGTTTCATTCAATGATGCTACATATTTATACATACTTTCAGTCTAAAAATAGACTCAACTAATTCCACATAAAAGGCAACTACTCGCCATAAGAATAGCAACCTACCTAGTTGACTTGACTATAACAAAAAATAACCCTAACAACTTCTTAGAAACTAGGACTTGGATTAGACAAATTCAAAACTAAAAGAATCAAACTTGCAATTTTAAGTTAACTTACATGAACTTCAAAATTTATTAAAAATCTAGTTCTTTTTTTTTTAAATATTAAAAATCTATTTTTAGTGTCATCTTTCTCCAAATTTTGTTACTTGACATATCTTTTTATTATATATATATATATGTATTTATATTATATATTAAACATTTTGTACTCTTAAGCTTTCAAGATAATTCTATTTGGTCTTTGAACTTTTAAAATGTTCATTTTAATCCTTGAACTTTCAAGTTTTGTTCCATTTTGTTCCTTAAACTTTAAAAAAATATCTACTTTTAACTTTAAACTTAAAAAAAAAAAAAAAAACCATCATTTTTATCCTTACTTTTAATTTGATTTTAACAAATTAATATCATGACTTCGAGTATTTGTATTAACATGTTAGCATGAGCGTGTATTCAACCCACGCATAGGATTGAAAACAAGTGCTGGGTAAGCATTAGAGAATAATCTACCAAGGACCAAAATGATTACTTTTGTAAAGTTAAAGGACTAAATTAGACATTATATGAAAGTTCACGGATCAAAATAGTTATTTTTTTGAAGTTCAAAAACAAAATAGGATTAATTTTGTTTCTTTTACAGTTATCTTCAAATGGAAGCTTATTAAAAAGTTAAAGTTGTAAGAAACTTATTCAAGTTTGAGGTAAAAATTGTCACGTTGACACACCTTGCCAAATTTTTTTAAATATATATTTTTTAGTACAACATGTGGAGGTGGGAGATTGAACTCACTATCTCTAGTTAGATATATGTGCTAATTAATATTGATCTATACTCGTTTTGTCAATTGTTTTTTTAAATATACTCTAACGCAAGTGAGTGAAGATTTAAAATGCAGCCTAAAATTATAAAAAAGAAAAAAGAAAAAAAAAAGGCACTTGCAAATAAAAGTTTTAGTAAAATAAGCGAAATAGCAACCACATTTAGTTTTTTCAAATATAGCAATTTTGTTCAGATAAAACGGAGGTCCAATTGTAAAATTACAAATTCACCCTTTATTATATCTGATATATATATGTAATATATCTGACTACTGATATATATCTCTGATATACCACTGATATAATAATGATATACAATTGATTTACTTATGATATAATCATGATATCTACTCAACTTCTAGCATGTCTTACCACTGATATACGTATGATAACTATTGATTTACCATGCTAATACAATACATATATATGTGATATATATTTGATATGTCTCTAATTTACCGTTGATATACAAATGATATACCACTGATATAACTATGTTATCTACTGATATAATTTATTATATGATTATATGATTTACCACTAATATAACATTGATATATACTTAATATGCTTCTAATTTACCACTTATACACCTCCGATATAACCACTATATCTACTAATATAACTATTATATATGTGTGTTGATATCTTTTTTTTTTTATATC